CGAGCCGAGAGAGCCGCGCGGACCTCCGGAAGTTCGTGCTCAGATGTATTCTGCGTCGGCGGAGGCAGGTCAGTCGAGCCGCCACTTCTCGAAGCCGTACCCGACGAACTTGGAGTCGGCCGTCTGGAAGCCGGAGCCGCGGAACTCGAAGCCGAGCTCGTCCGCGGCGGCGTCCAGGCGGTCGACGTCCTCGGCGCGGTCCGCGCTCGCAGTCTGCAGGCGCCGTGCTGCCGCGGGGAGCGCCGGACGAGGAGCGAGCCGAGAGCGGGCTGGAGATTCTCAGGCATCCGTTCGGCGGCGAGCGAGGGGGGCAAGTGAGGAGGAGAAGGCCCTCTGAGAAGGCGCTGGGACTTCTCAGAAGCGCTCCGGCCCTCCGAGAAACGTTTTCAGTGTCTTCGGGGAGGGCTTGGACAACTTCTCCAACTTCTCAGGAGGCCCGGGGGACTTCCGAGCCTTCTGAGAAGGCCCGCCCCTTCTCACTTCCCCCCCCTCGCTCGCCGCCGATCCAAGGGGCTCACGTTCCAATCCCGGCGTTTTTCCTGGACTTCGGCCTCCAGGGCATGTTCTGGGGCCCCAGGGCCGTCGAGCCGGAGGAAACTGCTCCGGGGGGGGAGTCGGGAGCTGGGGCCGCGGACCGAAAAAGCCGTGCCTTGGAGGATGTCCGGGCTGCTCCCCGAGGGCGCCTGTCGGCAAAACGCTTGCCGGCAGCGTGGTCCGTCGCCAAGGAAGTGCCAGGGGGCCCCAAGCCCACCGAGAAGCGACGCGGCTAATGCTGATAGAAGGTCATCACCGCCAGACGGATGAGGATGAGGATGAGGATGAGGATGCTGCCGCTGCTGATGATGATGACGGTGGTGGTGGTGATGATGGTGATGATGATGACGATGATTTGTCCGAGAAGCTTCCAACAGGCCTCAGGGGTCCCCATTCGTCATGGCCACTTCTGTCTCGCTGCCTGCTCCCCCTCTCCCTGCAACTCGCTCAGGCGGGGGTGCGCGAAGCGCTGAGATCTCCCTCCCTGACACAGCAGCACGACAGGAGGAGGCGAGCAGCGTGACTGGAGGACGAGCGCACGTCCCAAGGGACGGAGTGTGTCCAAAGGGACCCAGGGACACACACACACACACACACACGCACGCACGCACGCACGCACGCACGCACGCACGCACGCACGCACGCACGCACGCACGCACGCACGCACGCACGCACGCACGCACGCACGCACGCACGCACGCACGCACGCACGCACGCACGCACGCACGCACGCACACACGCACGCACGCACGCACGCACGCACGCACGCACGCACGCACACACGCACCCACACACACACACACACACACACACAACACACACACACACAACACACACACACACACACACACACATACACACATACACATACACACACACACACACATCCCAGGATGCCCAATCTTTTTCAATATTTTCAGGGTTTTCGTCTTAGCCCCCACTGTCCATATTTTCTCATGTTTCCTTTATTTTCTGGGAAATCGACGATAGATTGTGTCTGTGTGTGTGTGTGCGCGTGTGTATATATATATATAGAGAGAGAGAGAGAGAGAGAGAGATTCCCCTCCCAGATGTCAGCCGCCTGCCCGCTGCGCCTGCTGGAAGCGGCCGCCCCGCCCGGCAGAGGCACGCGGCCGCGCCCTGGCGGGCCTAGGGCCGTGCTCCCCTCGCGGGCCACGCGTCTTCCCCGTGTGATGCGGGCCGTGGGCGGCATCGGCGAGGAGGGCACGAGCGAGCAGCTGCGATCGAGGCAGGGGAGCCAGGAGGGACGAGCAACCGACGGTCGCGAGCAGAGGCGCCAGCGTGAGTGGAGGAGGGGCAGAGGGAGGTGGTGCGGGGCGTCCTCGCTGGGCAGGCGCCAGCCGAGCGCACCCATGTTGTCCTCCACCTGGGCGACGCTGGAAGCACCTGGGATGGGGATTGCGCCCTTGCAGATGACCCAATTCAACGACACCTGAGGTGGGCGAGGAGGAGGAGAAGCATAGGAGGATGAAGAGGTGGAGGCGGAGGAGAGGGAGGAGAAATAGGACGACGACGGCGAAGACGACGACGACCGACGACGACGGACGACTTCGACTTCGACGACGACGACAACGACGACGACGAGAGGGAACAGGAAAAAGGAGCAGAGGAAGTAGTAGTCGTCGTCGTAGTAGTAGTAGTAGTAGTAGTAGTAGTAGTCGTAGCAGTAGTAGTAGTAGTAGTAGTAGTAGTAGTAGTAGTAGTAGTAGTAGTAGTAGTAGTAGTAGTAGTAGTAGTAGTAGTAGTAGTAGTAGTCGCAGCCGTAGGCGTAGTAGTCGCAGTAGTCGCAGTAGTCGTAGTAGCAGTAGTAGTAGTAGTAGTAGTAGTAGTAGTAGTAATAGTAGTAGTAGTAGTAGTAGTAGTCGTATTAGTAGTAGTAGTAGTAGTAGTACTAATTCGCCGGCCCAACAGGCCAGAGGCGTGCTAAGATCTCCGGTAACTTGTT